CTGACTGCTCTGAGTTTCAGACCCATGATGACCAAGTTGCCACGACCTCTTCTGAGAGATCCCTCTACAGAAAGAAGCAATCATACAGCTTCCAAAACCCTCTCTACCAATCACCCTATTCACTGTGCCCCATCCAGTGTAGCCCACATAGCAGTCAATGCCAAGGCACAAGCACCGCGTCCACGCAGCCATCTGTGATTCTGCACCAGGAGCACTGTGAAACTGATGCTACTGAGAAGGGTAAGGCGATAAAAAGAGTGTTTTTATGTCTTTATTGCTTAAATTGTATTTCTTTCAGTATTAAGGGAATCTAACATCTGTTCCAAATATTTGTCTTATCCTCTATCTCCATCCAAGGGGCATGTTCATTGGAAAATGCAGTGGTGCGCTACAGTAAGGCCCAGAGACCGACCTCACTGCCCATCCAGCCCTTTGTTCTGGTCCCCGCAGGCAAACCCCAGACGCAGCACTTGAGCTGTCTTCTGGAGCAGTACATAAACCAGAAGAGCAGCAAGAGCTCTCAACCAGGCCTCAAGTTCAAGGGCAAAAGCAGCCAAGGTTGTTCTAATCTGCAGGCATCACCAATGGGCAACCACTGCCCCATCTTCCTGGAGGCTCCCTCGAGCTCCGACACCTGCTCCACCTGCACGCCGAGCCCAGAGTGCTTCAGTCGAGCATGGAGCCAGTCCCGCGGAGGCCAAGGATGCCCAAGTCCATTTACATTAAGAAGCAGCCAGGATCCAACCTACAGCCCACCGTCGAGACTGGTTCAAGATAACACAAGCCCACCTCAGAGTACCACTTCTTCAAATTTGATTGCAGCCCCACTTAAGTCCCACCTTGTTAAAAGTCCCGCCTACCAGGACCTTATTAACCTCACCCCTGAGCAGGGCCAGACCAAGACAGAGCCCAGGAGTCCCTATGAGACCCAGACCCCCTCAACATTTTCTCATACACCACCCACTTTACTCCTGACCACTGACACCCATCACCCACACCTGCAGGCCTCCCTGTCTCCTCCCACAGCCGTACAACCTGAACAGGAGCTCCCTCAGTGCCGCGCTGCACCTGCAACTGACTTTGGCTTTTTTGATAATAGTTTTACAGCTGCCTTCTCCTCTGTAGCTCCTCTTTCCTATTTGAGTTATCTGTTTTCCATGGCTGCTTCTGGGCTGCAAATCCAGCACTCTGCTGGGCTCAGTGGGAAGCAGAGTCAGAATCAACACAGTGAGACTCTGATCCTGAGTGACAGGCCGCCCACAGAGTTCTGCCTCTCACCCGATACATCTTATGAGTCCATGTCTATCAGCCATCTTCAGAGGAGAGGTGAGGACACTGAATGAATGATATATTATTTGGTGTAAAACATGTTAATTACATGGAAAAACATTGAAATCATAATGGAGTAAAAACAAAGTCACCCAGTAACGGCAATGACTGGATTCCTTCTTGATTGGATTGTCTAGCCAGTGATGAGCTGTTGAGAACAGTAAAAAAAACAAGTCACTGTGCTGCAGCAGTGCCTTCAATACCCTGAAGGGGCTTCCTCTCAAACATGACCTATTTTTAACTCTCCCTGCACGGGATTGGCTAAGCTTGCTGCTCTGTAGCCTATGTGTGTGTGACTGCACGCTTCAAGAGAAGACAAGAGGAGAGAATGATGCAGTAGAAACAGTGCTAATTATTTATAGACACACATATTCATTTAGTGTTTCCATTTGGCCCACACGAGCACATTTGATTCTATAAATGTGAGCCTTCTGTGATGGATAACCAAGGATGGAGACGCTGTGGTGAACCATCAGTGTGGTGCAGCACTGCAGGCAGCATCAACATGCATAAAGAATTTACCATGACATTTGCAGAGGCTAGCCAGTATGAGATGAGGAAAGCCAGGCAAGGGAAAGCAAGTCAATGAGGAACGCTGCTAAAATGGACTCTTTTATCTTTGGCTCACTTTCACATTTGCATTCCCGCAATATGATAATGATGTTTCTATGCAGTGACCCAGTTAGGGAGGTGGAAATCTTATGGAGCGTGTTCATGATTGAGTCTTATTTTCTTTAAACGAGTACAACATATGACATAATTTCAACCTGTTTCCAATACAAATCACCATGCTTAAATAATTTTCTAAAAGTGACCAGACAATCTAAATTACAGCTATAGAATCACAAATAAAGAATCCAATTGATTTGTACTGTTAACAGGTTGGTTGAAATGTTTATATTTATATATTTATTTAAACAAGGACCATGCATACAAATAAATTAATCTCAGAAAAGATCCCAGATTTTAGCTAATCGTTCATTTCCATCCAGTCCTTAAGCAGCTACATAACAATTAACAAACACTACACCACACTGGATGTTTTCACATACAAATGATACACGGAAATTACATAATATAGCATTTACAATGTAACACATATTGTATATTGTAATACATCAATCTCCAATGTCTCTCCTTGTCCAATGTCCCCAGGTTTGCTGAGGTCTGTGAGCAGGGCCGTGGATTTAATCATGGCACATTTTGGCAGCAGCAGAGACCCTGAAGAAAAGGTCTGAATTTGGCAGAGCTAAGCAACTATGTTTCACAATGGAAAAGCGCCAAACTGATATTACTTACACTGCAGGACAGGAGTCAAATAACTTGTGTCAGCAGGAAATATATTGTATTATATTTCTTTCCTTCTGCTGCAGATGCGACTGGGTAACAGCTCATGCAGTCCCACAATCGGCAGCCTGGTCCTGGAACATTTGTGTCCGGCGATCCAGAATATTTTAGAGGACGGGCTTAGGGATCACAAGCTGGATGTCATCGTTGGGCAGCGTCGCAATCACTCCTGGGGTGTTGTGGAGGTCTCTACTAGGATAGGTAAATGCATAAGAGTGAAGATGATTCAAAGGAAGTGCCCTGAATATAGTGGCATACCGATGGAGCAGCTTGTTTGTAGTAAACTGTTTGTTGATGAAGTATTTTTGGTCTGAAACAGGTCCATCCACCAAGGTCCTTCACAGCCTGGTCTCCAAAATCAGACAATTTCCCCAACTCTCCAGCCAATGCATGAGACTGAGAGCCTTCATCATGGGCCTGCTTAAGTAAGACAATCTTTAATCACACTTTCAAAGGTATAATGAATGTATACATAAGCTATAATCCTGGCTGTGTTGTTTTCTTTGTTTTCTCTTTCAGCTTGAGAGCTTTAGAATTCTGGCTCAGTCACCTTCAGAGTCAAACAGGTGAGTGCCAATACATATCCTGGCAAATGGTCCACCCTCAGACCTCTCAACAACTATTGAAAGGACTGTCATGAAATATGATTCAAGTTCCCCGCTGAATTTATTCACCATGTTGGCATGCTATCAATAGCATTTAGCCCCGTTTTAGATCACTAATGCATTTGTTTCTATCTTTGTTTACACCTGTTACTTCTCCACAGATTTAGTGACGACATACTACCATTCATGGGGTTTCCTGTCCATGTCCCTGGGTCAGTGTCAGCCCTTGTTTCAGGAGCTGCTGCTTCTGCTGCAGCCGCTCACTGTGATGCCCTTTGACCTCAACTTGCTCCTGGAGCCTCGAATGTTACGTAACAGACAGTTGTGTTCGGAGGAGCATGGTGTTTCTCCTCCTCAGCCATGCTCAGCCCTCCTAGTGACCAGCTGGCCACTACTGCAAGCCGACAAAAAGGCCTACAGCAGCCACAGTCAGCAAAACAACATTTCACAGCAGACAGGCCTTCATTGCCACGACTCTCCTAGGTCTCAGAATTGCATCAAGCAGGACTGTGAAGGGAATTGGGCCAACAGGAGTCCATTAGCTCCTATTCAAGAGTGGTGGTCGAATAAGCCTGACCTTGTGGATGGTGTGGTTGAAGGGGAGGACTGTAGACAGAATTGTGCCGAAAATTGGTCTCAAATTAGTATGGACAGCAGGCATGAAGACAGGATGGGAGAGAAGGAAAATGAGACCCCAATTGCGACCACATTTGTCCAGGCTGAGAGTCCATATCAGGGTGGGCTGCGCTGGGCCAAACTGTTTGGAGCCGCTGATACTTCCACCAGGACAGAGACAGTTTCCCAGAGTCACAGTGGAGCACAAACCAGAAGGTAAGAACCAGCCGTGATAACTGGTAAAGATGTTGTTGTGTGATTTTCTTACTACTTTAATATATATCATTGCTTTCACAGGTCCAGGCGACCATCGCACTGGCTGCATTTTGACAGATCCCATCTTGGACTGTTGGCTCAATCCATCAGGTCAATGACGCTGGGAGGAGCAAGCTCAGACTAACTGAAAACTAAATCCTCTGTGGATGAAGGACAGAGTTGGGCTTATTTACTGTAATAGCCTGCATGATAATAGTTTGCTCAACGTAACCGAAAGCACATAAATTAAATGAATCACAGCTTTAGCAATGGCCCTTATTCATCAGGCTGAGCATTGCAGCATAAGTCAGGTTGCAACATTGAACCCTAAACTATCCAGTTAAAAGTCATTCATTTTAAGCTGGTGTAGCACCACTAACTGTAGCATCATTTCCACAGAAGATCCAGAGATCTCTACCGGGAAGTAGCTTGATGATTAAGGGTCATTCCTCCATTTGCAATTTCAACCTCAAAAACTGATCCTTTATATTCCCTAGAGTCAATTATAAATCATGAAATGTGCATTTTGACCTTTTGGACATTGTTGTGGTGCAAAATTATCTGTTTAGAAGAAGAAGAAGATGAACGTTTATTAATCCCCCTAGGGGGAAATTCAGTGTTTACATATCTGTCATTCTCTACATAGCTGTACATTTTATCTTTAGGTGGGAAAAAAGCCAGAAAATACACTCGTAACTGTGCCAAATATGCTTCACACCAGCCTCTTGGATAGTCAGTGGTTTTTGGTTTCCTGTAGCCTGTTTGAGCAAATCCCCAGCATGGATTTTCTGCATGAGTTAAAAAAAGAAACGGTACAATAGGTGCTTCGGTACTTCCTATATCTCTTCCTATAACTCCCCCTTGATGTTTTTATTGGTGAAGAGCTAGGTTTTGTACATTTTCTGGAACTGAAAGTGTGGAAATAGTTTGCAGTAGGATGTCTTCCAGTGAATTTTGTTAAGTTGCACAATATAAGCCATCTGGTGGCTGTTTCAGGTACTTTAATGTGTGTCAGCTACATTTTGACAGACTAGTGGTTAGTTAATAAGGAGGAAAGAACAGAACGTGTGTTTTATATACAGAACATTCATGTATTTATGTGCAATCTGTGAAATAATTTGACCCAGCATCATTGTCTCAACCTCTGAATGTTTCCTCTAATGCCAGTGACAATCAAAGTCTGTCAATAAAGACTTCTTTGTATGCCAACAGTAAACATTACAAATGTTTATTCATGCGTTTCCTGTCATGAGGATTTCCTAAATAGTTCTTAAACTTGACTCATGTCAGAACTTCATCTTGCCAGTAATTTGGACAGTTTTATGATTTTGCCTGACATGACGGATCCTCTTGATGCTGCTCTTTTCCAGTGCATTCTGGGAAAGTTGGCCAAAGGTTTGTTCATACGTGAACTGGTACCCTGTGGGATGGCACAGAGGGAGAAATGCTTAAACTTGATGCTAAAAGGTTAAATCTCTTCAATACTATTTATAAAATAGCTGATAAAAGGCAAATGTGTTTCTAGCACTGACACTGACATGGGATGTGTCCTGTGAAGGACGGCACCACACCCCTGTTTGATGGATAGATGGTAGCAATGGGAATTATTGTACTTTCCCTCCTTCCCGGGATGCTTAGGGACGTGGGATCAGTCTGCTGCTGTTTCCCAAACTGGATCAGTGCCTGTTTGGGGAAGCCTTTGCCAATTAGGAAGCGAGATGTTGGCACATGGCCTGTAAAACCTGTTTAAAATACATCACAGTGAGCTTCTAGAGTACTTTAGGAAAATATAAACATCCTAATTTTCCCTGTAAGTGGAGACCAAAATAAAAATTATAATTTGATCCTTTTACGTATTTGATGGATGTGTAAATTGGCAATTGTTCTCTATAACAACTTTTTCATATCAACTAGTGGCCTAATGCATTTAGAAGGAAACAACTGGTTAAGTTCTCTGATGTACCTGTTTTAAAGTACTTTTGTGGGTTATCATCATCCATGAAGTGTGGTTTTCCTGTGGGGGTGAAGGACTTTAAGGGCCTGTAGGGGATTTCTTTGTTGGAGATTTCTCTCAAGTGGGGTCTTGGTTTCTGAGCCAAATGATAACAGAGAACAGTTAAAAACACAAATGACTCAGAAATCAAACCAGCTAAAATGCTATATTCAAGTAAATGTAATACCAATGAACAAAAGTTTAATGTAAACCTATTGAAAAATAAATGAAGACAGTAACTTTGTGCTAGTTAACAGAAAACATTAATAAGACAGTGGATTATAGTGTACTGCTGTGTTCTGTTTATTCATGTGAATCTCAGATGAATTGTTGAATCTGTGTCAGGCCCTTCTGGAGAGCTGACCAGTTCTGCTTCGGTCTGTTTCAGGGTGGATTATATTACAGTGATCTGACACTAGAGTTCCACTATGGATAATTAAACAAGAGTGAACCTATTCAGAGGTGCAATGTCAACATGTATGTGTGCATGGGGGTGGGTTTAAAAGAGAGAGAGTTACTTCAACCTGTGTGTGGGTGTAGTTGACAACAGCTGGCAGCTCTGTCGATTCTCGTTGGATCTTGGCACAACCATCCTGGTGAAACTCTGACAGCGCCTTACGGCATGTTTCTGAGTAGGTGCAGGCAAAGTAGTTCTGGCTTTTTGGAATGAAGCCTAAAACAGCAACAAAGGACATACAGTATCAGTTTCACCTGAAGTTCTGACAAGCAATAAAAATAGTTTTGGATTTCATTCAATGTGTTTTTTCTTTGTCTGCCTTCACTACAATACCACAGCAGTGAATATATGTAAGTATAACATTTAAAAAAAAGTTAACACCAACCTTTTTCTGGAAAAAGTGTCCCTGGAACTGCTTAAAGAGCTTTAAAGGAAAGTATTACATTGGTACTACTCATATCAAATAAAAATAGTGCTGTGGATAATGCAAATCGACTGCACCATTGTTTTTAGAAAGATACGAAGGAATTTGGTTGAACTGATCCTGTAAAATGCATTGCAAAAATGCATGTTTACATAATAAAATAAAAGGACTTTAACTTACATTTCTGCTATGGCTGTTTGGTGAATGTTATCTCGTGTTTTAAACCTGGTCCACTTAATAATAATAATAATAATAATAATAATAGATTTTATTTATTAGCGCTTTTACAGGTGCTCATAGACGCTTTACAGATAATAGTGAAGAGAAAAGAAAAGAGAAGAAAGGAACAACAAATAAATATATAGTTAAAGTTAAAGTCAAATAATACAAAAACAATCACACATTAAAAGCCAGATTGAAGAGGTGAGTTTTTTGAAGGTGGTGAGGTCGGTGCAGTCTCTGATGGGTTGTGGGAGTGAGTTCCAGAAGGGAGGGGGCAGCAACGGAGAAGTAAGGAATTTCAGTACAGCCATATTTTGTAATTATATTTCCTCCAAAGTAAATTCGTTCCCCCACACTCATGTCAGGTTATTCAAGATTTTTACCGATGGTTGAAATCTCCACCACGATGGAAAGTTTAGTGTGGAGTGTGTTTTATTAGCAATCTGCAATAAGAGTGTAGTATTCAGCATCTCCCGAATCTTACATTACATGTTACTTACATACATCTCAGTTACTGTGGACAATCCCCCACAGGTCGTGAGCAGTTTGGGGTGAAGTGTCTCAGGGACACAACGGACATGGCTGACTGCAGTGGGACTCGACTTGCTATCCCTCCATATCCTCCAATCTCTAAATAAGACAGTTACATTCTCGTCATGGACGAAAGACGCGATAGCAAGAAAACCCCGGTCCTAAAAACCCTCCATGTACCTGATAAAAACCCTCCAACACCACACCAACACACACGGGACCTAACCCGAGACACATACAGACCAAGATTAAGATAAATGGATTTGACAGAAACATAAATGAGGTAAAGCAAGTTCTCGCTCTCTATTAATCCCAAAGCAAGCTATAATACAACTCCCTGCACCTTACCCATACATCAGGAACTTTTGCAGTTTCTTTGAAAGAGCATCAAAGTAGCGGTCGAACTTGAAGCTCCTGGAGAACCTGGTATCATACAGGATGGACGGCAGAGGAGAACAGTGGGACAGCGCGCCCAATAGATGTCAAAAACAAAGCCGGCAGAGACTGGACATCACGCAGCCATGAGACCGCACCACAGTGGAAAACAAAGAGGCACATTGTGTGTTTTGATTGGCCGGGCCTTCACCATATTGGTCTTCCATGAGAACACAAGAGCAAGCGTGAGGACAGGTGGTAACCTCAAAGCGCCACAGGGCAACAGCTTGCCTGCTCGCTTTTTACAACAGGCTGTGTTACCAGAGCTGCTGGTGACGACACATCTGAGTTTATACACACAACACACACACAGCCCCANCAATGGGGTATGTAATTTATTTCAGAAAACACTTTTTGTTATATTCCATGGAATGCTCTTAACATCCCGATAGCAATGAATATATTAAATGCTTTGACATTGTCAAAGCATTTAATATATTCATTGCTATCGGGATGTTAAGAGCATTCCATGGAATATAACAAAAAGTGTTTTCTGAAATAAATTACATACCCCATTGAATTATGTCAGCTGTCTTCCTCTCCCGTGTTGTTCCTCGATACGTAAAGGCTGCAGCACCGTTGACAACTTCTCTCTACACATCAAAACATACCGGTAAACCAGCATCGTTTGCTGTGAAAGCATATAACTCTGTCCACACAGTATTAATTCCTGTGTTCCTCCGGTACTTTTCTTTGATTTATCCATAGTTCGCTCATCAAGCCGGGGGTCAGGTTATTCACCCGCAGGAAAAGGCACTCGCGCGGGACCGTAGCAGGATGTGACGCATATTTTAGTTGACCTAATTAAAATCGTTTTGTTTTTTATTTATGTGTCACAGTATCACCTCAAAATACAAGATACGAAACATTTTCAACCATGCAACAAAATATAAATAGTCCTACAAATACTTTTATTTTATTTCCTTCTTATTTTTGTCTAAGCTCAAGGAAGCCAGAGCAGAGGGCTTAAAGGGCTGCATGCGGCCCGTGGGCCGCGGGTTGCCAACCCCTGGCATAGGTCAACGGCCTTGGGTATTGCTGCCATTTCTCTTAAGGAGGAGCAGCTTGGGCGCATTGTTGTTGCCAGTCTATGACAGAGCACAAGCCGCCATGAGGTAGCTTACTGTTCAGGGACGAAAGTTCCCTGGCGCACATTCTTTTCTACGGACGAGAGCTCTAGTTAGATTCAGGGTCCATAATGTGTAGACTCACTGATAAAGAATGTTGATTATTACACTCCGAACTAGTTAAAACCTCGAGCTGTAGAAGCGTTCTTCAGAATTGGTTTGGCAACCGCTGTGTCAACTGGTGACACACCACCTGTCTTGTCAACTCTCCGGCCGTAACTCCAAATAAACCACCAGTGTTTGCCATCAAAGCTCCAGCTCTCCTCGTGTCTCTCTAAGTCCTGACTCTCCATTGCTTCAGAAGTTTCCCTTACACTTATTTCTCAACAGTAGTATGTAATGAGGTCAAGTAAGAATAGGACGTTTTGGTGTTTATGCTAGGCTAGGCTAACAGTTTCCTGGCTGTAACTTAGTATTTACAGTAACTGAGTGAAAAGTTAGTGGCTTCAAAAAAAGGAAATAAGTATAACTCTCTGACAGACACAAAGGAAGGTTGCAAATTAATCAGAGGAGATTAACAATGGTGTGGCTTTTTGAAATGAATAGCTCTGATTAAAGACACTTGTCAAATGTGATAAGACAATGTCAGGAGAAATCTCTTAATGTAATCAAACAGGGTGAGACGAGCCTTGATCATATGCCCGTCTTGTACTGATATAATGATGAGACCCAACTCTCATCCATTTAAACTGCATGTAATCAATGATTGTCACTTATTAGGTCTCATTCATTCACTGTCATTGTTAGTTTCTCAAGGTGAGTTGAGACAATTACCTTTCACCTTTCCACGTATCCACTCTGGCAAAGTCCTTGTAGTTCTGCTGGCCAGTGAAGAAGACATACTCCCCATCGTTGGAAGCATTGGTCTGTAGGAAAAAAAGGAAAATGTTCAACAAACAGCTCAAACAAATAGCAACTCTTGATTTTCTGCAATTTTAATACAATTTCTTTGCAATTATCTCATATACCATTTTAATGATCAACAAACTCAAGTCTGGACAAAGTGTACAATATCATATTTATATTAGTTGTTATTGCTATTTTCTCTTCCTGCTTGTAAAGCGTCGTTGAGCACCAGGAAAAGCACTATATAAATACATGCATTATCATTATACTTGACCTTATAGAAGAGTCCAAAAACATCGTCCAGGTTGGGTTTGAAAAGTTTGAGGGCTTTGAGCAGGGGGTCTTCATATCCCCACAGCAGCTCCCCCACTGTGCGTGTGGTGAAAAGGCCTTCGTTTTCAGACTTCATGTAGGAGGAGATCAAGTTTGCAAGGACCAAATTATCTTTGAATTGCTCCATCACCGACTACCGGGGGGAAAAAGAAAGACAAACTGCGTTGTAAAGCGATGAATGACAGAAGTTCTTTGAAGACAACCACGTAATGGGATGAATCATTTACTTGAATCACATTTTTTATAATCTTTATGAGAGTTCACTTCCCAGTAGCACAACAGCACATATTATCAATCCTATACCTACAAAGCATCATGTACTGTTATATCTTTGTAACAATAAAAGGAAAGCACATCTACTGTAATGAAGATAAATGGCAACATCGTCTCATACATTTTGGGGGAGGGGAGAGAGAACCTTTTTGTATGTAATTAAAAAGATAAATTGATGTAACCTGTGAGTCTGTTGTTACACCATTTGAGTGATGTCATTCTTAATTGTTTACAAGATAATGTTAAGAAGATGTGTTATCCATGGATCTTTAATACTTTACCTTTAAGGTATGAGGACATTATAAGAACTCATTATAAAAAATTAAAATAATATTGTGGTTGATACACAATACAACATTAATAAAACAGTATAATATTAAACAACACAAGCAGTAAATGGATCTGCAATGCTCACAATTGCAGGGATGTTGACCGTCCTGATGAGATCACTCTCTGGACCCCGGGACATGTCTCTCTGAAATATGTAGGTCTTTGTGTTGACAGATGATACTTTGGTGCCATTTTCCTGGAAGTCCACTTGCTCCATCGGCCGGTACTCTCTGTGTAGGAAATGACAGCAGCTGGGTTATAACTGGGTTTATGGTAGAAAGATGTTAACTCTTAGTTCCTTGTTGCAGCCAAATATTTAAAGACAAACAATGTTAATACAACAATACACTAGGTTGGCCTATTATCTTATTACAGTATCTGCACCTCATACTACAGAGAAGAGGCTATTGTTAAATAATTATAGAATTCTGTACTGAAACTATTAGTTCTGGTTTAAATATTGCATAAAGAAGGAAGAGGTTTCCATTGAAGTCAAAATAAGGTTAAATCATCTTTACAGTCAATACTGACTCCTGACTATTCAGAACGAGTTGTAATGACCACGAGTAAAAGGGATGTTTTCCAACCAAGATGCACTATAGTCATGCTTTTTATGTTAACTCTAATTGAACATGATGATCTTGAGGCAAGGATACCAATTACAACATCATAAGCAATGTCTTTGATTAATTATTGAATATAATAGATTAATTTGTTGATTTATAGTCTTACATTTTGTACTAAAGTGAAAAATGACGATGCATGTTATGATTTCATGTTTGCAACTGCCCTGCTTATCTATTTTCCAGCTTCTTCCTTTTGTGTTTTACCTAATCTAATAACCACCTCTTTAACACCTTTCTGCATTGATGATATCGTCAGTTTTCGTTTGATTTGACAGAATCAACAATTGTGCTTCTTAATGGCTTTGTGGCTTTCTTTTACTGTGACATCTGCACTTCTGGTTTATGAAATAGACGACCAGAGTAATTAGAGTATTTTTCCTTTTCCTCACCTGTATGTATATGGTCCGATCTCCAGCACAGCAGGCCGATCTCCATCCACCACCTCCAGGGGGTTTGTCAGATTGAAGAAGTAAAACTGCATGTAAACAGGGGCTGGTGGATTCTCCCAGACCTCAAACGCCTCCGTGCCATTCTTCAAAACGACTTCCTATGGGGAACAAAGAGCATTGGGTTATATGTACTGCACAGTTGAGAAAAATGTGCAACTTCAGATGCATATTTAGCTGACTAAGCTGTCCACATCATATGACAAAGGCTGCTGTAAGTGGTTAAATCACAATATGGATAACCAGGCAGGATATGATATGTAATACACATTGCAATGACGTACGAATTTCACAAATCTAAAATAAGTTATTTCAAAAGTCAGATATAAAAGTGTGCCAGATATTTATCTGTTATAAATTTGAATATGCGAAAAACCCCACCCAAAACATCTCAACACTTCTTCATTCAACTGGCTAAATAATTGTCTATGAGTATCGGGAGAAGCTGGCTGTCAGAGCTTGCTAACTTGATGAGTAGTGTGAGAACATCAATTCCTTAATGTTAGTCATTGGTAAAACATTCAATTTTAAAACCAGCTAGCTAAATACCTAATGTTAAAGCTGCCCATCAGACACACCATACTGGTCTCTATGGCAGAATCGAAACCCATCAGACTGTCTGCCATTTCGTCACAATAACAATAAGCTAACTCACAATAACCGTCATCAAAATGTCTAACGTTAAATAGTTAGTGGCCATCTAACTATAACGCCTACATAAACAAGGTTTCCCAAAATAAGATGTTTGGCATACCTTTTTAACCACCGACTGTAGGATATGTGGAAACACGTTAGACAACACCAAAGAAATGCCGGCAATCAAAAGTAGAATAGAAAGAACTCCGGTGCTGTAAATACAACATGATTTCAGTTGCATGGTGGAAAAGCAGACAGATATGTAAAGGCAGTAGCTCTCACTGACATTAGCTACCGTCTGTGTGTGAGCGCTGTTTTTGTTTTGACGGCCCAGGAACTTTCTCGGTGAATCAAAGACCAACGTCCGGAGTGAAATACTTCCCTGTTGCCACTTCCGGTTTCTTCGACATTCGCGATCTTCCTGGATAACGAGCCCTAACAAACGCACTACAGTGATATATTTGGAGTGTCCCCTTTAATAGATGTCGTAATTTATGATGTAAAATGTGATAGCTGCCTATAAACTATTAAACGAGAGACGAAATAATGTGTCCAACATTAGCTGGCTGTTGAAAGCTAAATAAAGGGGAACATATTTCTTGTAGGTAAAGACTCTTTGTTTTTAATCGCATGACAGTTACGTCATTCATTAAACCTCAGTCTTATGTGGATCTCTCTGTTTCAAACATACATGATTACATAAAAGACAAAATACAACTAAAACTCAAGAGACAAGCTAAAATTGAGCATTAAGTGACTTATTAATTATTAATTAACATGAATCAAGGAAAGTTCAACTTCTACTGTGCTGTTCTTGGGCCTTCTTGGGAAGACACTTTTTGTGAGCCGTTTGAGGTGAAACCATAGGGTGAAACATACAATCCAACAGTTATCCTGTTTGCATAGTCATGTTGAAACTCAGGGTATAGCCAGGTCATGATGTCAGTGTAAACAAAACCTGAATATTTCATTGCACTATTGTCTCTGTTTCTTTAAAACATGTAAAGCTTCGTTTTGTTCAATACTGATTACCATCAAACAACCAAACATTCACATACTAATAATACATTTTTCATAATACAGAACAACAGTGTAAGAGATTGTTTCTCCACTAGATGTCACTGTCTTGACATTTACTAATATTTCTTGCCTATATTCTTTGTTGGTCTACAAACTGGAGCCATATCTGTTGAGTCAACATTTCGTAATAATAGGGACCACACCTTGGCTAAGCAGACTAATCTATGAGCAGGTATCTCGGTGTCATATTGTCTCTTGTCCCATTTCCATTTTTCTGATTGTAAGACATACTCATAGGAAATATGTTCAGATTTGCCATTCATATCTGAATATAAGCTACCAAAGCACATTGTATGAATGATACCCTTAACACATGTTGGCGTTAAATCAAAACATTTGAACATTAGCTTTACATTAATAGTTTGGGTTAAATATGACAGACATACAGAACGTGCAGTAGCCAAGGTAGGATTATCCGACATTACCAAATATCACCAATACAACTTGACTGCTCAGACACGTCCATACCTGCTTGAATAAGTTTCATTGCAGTGCAGTTGCAACATTTATCATCATCATCATCATGACGTGTTCGATTGGCAGTTTCTTAACCTCAGGCATGACTATACTGCTTTAACACATTGTGATACTGCTACTATAAAGCCTGTGAAAATGTTTGCATTGTTTGTTCTATGGATCCTTTGCATTATGGAAAATGTATACAACTTTTTGGAGCTCGGCTCATAGGGATTTCAAGTTTGAATATCTTGAATATCCTTTATTTTTGTGCTCCAAGTGCAGGAGGTGCAATAATAATGTGCTGGAATACCACCTTACATAACACAATTATAGCTTTATTAGTTGTATTAAATACCTAATACATAGAAAAATAAACAGATAAATAGACCAACATTGAATGGTTTGAAACAAGTGATAGTTACTCCACACAGAGTGTTTTGAATGATATAATCCATTACTGGGGGTGTCATGGGAGTTCAGGGGTCCAATCAAAAACCTAAGAAATAACCTTTAAATTGTGGCACATCAACAAAAAGTTTAATCAGTAAAAGAGTAAGGATTTTATGATTCTAATGTATTCTATTCTAGCTGTGTGAGTGTGGTTTTGTGGGAAATACGCCTTCAACCAAACATGAATGGGGCACAATGGATAACTGAAGAGGGCTCGCTCGCCGCGGTCACGAGAGCACTGGGGGAGTGACGTCACCACCCTAAACCGGGCACCAGCCGTTGAGTTGAGTCCCGAGCGAGAGACAGGCAGGAATCCGGGAACAACTTTTAATGTATGCGGGCCGAGCCGGGCCAGTGTCTCGGGACGCACTTTTTCCTCCTCCTTTATGCATCCTTCTGCTCGACTAAGCTCAACTACGGCTCGTTGTTTTCTCACCGGCTCGGTAGACAATCTGTTTTTGGCACAAAACGCGGTTGTGTGTCAGTTTCTTTTTATGTGTCCAGCCCTCCTGCGACTCCAGGACATAACCGGGTAAGTGTGTCCAGTAGTTTCACACCATGTTAGTAGTAGTGGTCGGAATGATGTCAAGGCATTTTAAACAAAAGCGTCACAACTATCCAAGTGTTTGTAAGTCTCGGTGGTAAGTTAAACGCTGCTGTTACAAAGCGTTCAAACTCATTGTTTGTGTACAATGATGCACGAAGCGCGCATTTGATGCTTTTTGTGCTAATTGCTAAACGAGTTGCAGCTTTGCCCGTTTTTGTTTTTGCATGCAACTTCCATTGTTTGAGGGCAGTATGCAAATATACACAGGTAGCTAGCTACTTAATAAACCGTGGTTCGTGCTCCATTAGAGTTTGACAATAGATTCAGTTGTTAAAGTTCAATGTACCGTCCAACATTGACAGAGACAACACATTAGTTAAATATCTCTGTTTCAGTTTTTTCGATTCGCTTCATAGAGATCTTCACATTCCACAATTGCTTTCTATTGTTGTTTTCACACATTTATCATTGTTGTGCTGCTGACATTTTACAGAAAATGAAGATTTGCTTTATGAATGTGCCATGCAAATGTATGTTAATCTGTGTCTTGAATGCTGCCAGTTATGGCTGTCCTTGAAGCACCCACCTTTCAATTCCTTAAACACATCAGTATCTGCCCACATGAAGAGTCTGTGAAAATGGAACAAATGTTTCTTACTTGCTCTATGTTTCTGCTAAGCCTTTTTAGTTCACACATTTTTTAAATACAATTTATTTAGGACTTAACTGCCAGTTATCATGGCAAAGAGGTTCAATTTGCTTACATAGTTGAACAAATACAAGCAGACATAAAGAAGTAAGTGAGTAGTTTCATTTTGACTGGTATGATCACAATGATATCTTTAGAGTAAATCACTGACAAGGTCATTTTAGGCATGAACATGTGGAAATTGAGGGGAGGCAGTTAACACGAAAACATGTATTTCACCAGACATCCCTAAGGGTTCTGTAGTGATTTAAAACATCCTTATGGGGAAACCATACAAAGCAGGATACAATTTCCAGCAACAGGTTTGCATTAGAAGTGAATGTGCTACACAAATTCCATTCCCAAAACTACTAATTGATTTGGGAGGAAGAAGAGAGAACTGTAAAAGTATACCGAGTATAGAGCAAGACTGTATGGTACAGAATACTGTGATCAAACTTATTAGGAACACTTTGTACACATTTGCTTTTGTCACTACTACAGTACTACAAGTGGTGCTCCTAAAGAGGCTTTAATACACAGCATATTTTTTTATATTTGAGGTAAAAGGTAATTTACCAAGGCTGTAGATTATTGCCACTGTAAATCCCTGCATATTTACACCTCCAATTGACTGTAACTTGTATGGATATAGTGTCCCACAATACCTGATAAATCAGTTAGTCTAGTCTTTCGGGAATGCTAAATCACATTTGAAATGGAGTTACATACTCATCACTAATTTCATCATCTGTGTCTTTTTTTCTTCACAGCCTTCCCTGAGTGATTGAGTGAGTGACTGCATGGACCAGACTGAACATGAAGAGCCTTAAAGCAAAGTTTAGAAAAACTGATGTAAGTACTATAACATGTATCCGCGGCTGTGTGAAGTGTGTGCACGCAACAATGTGTGCACATACACATGTCTGCACGGCTGAGTCAGTGTCTGTGTATGCATGCCTTGTGCAGTTGTGGGTGATTTACTGCAGATTTTCTCAACCTTGGGGTCAGCAGCACCCCATTGCTTTGGGCTATTTAGGAAAAAATAAATAGACTGGAAAAATAAAATAGAGTTCAATCATGTCTGTGTAATACTTATGGAACTTCCTTCTTGCTCTTGTAATCAGAAAGTGTGCCTTGCTCACTTTCCCATGATAACTTGTAAACTCTAAATGCTGGTGTCATGAGAATTGTAGGTCCTCAAAACAGGATCATGAGTTTGATAAACCCTGATTTATGGTGTTAGCGATATGACATAGACTATTATACTGACATGTTGAGTCACTCTGGAAGGTGGAGGACTCGAGAGGTGATTCAAATATTTTGATTAAAACTACAAAAACCACAAATATCCTAAGATACTGTGACTCCGTGCTGCTCCAGAGGAGGGTTTGACCCTGATGACTGAATCAGTTTTTTGGGAGGAATATCTCGGTGTTGGTTCAGTCATTTTTTGGGTCACATTCAAAGATACTCTACACTCACAGGAAGTGAGGCGTCTCCACAGCGTCTGACTCATCTGTTGTCACAGTGACCGTAATGACACAGAGCCAAAACGCAGACAGGAAAAAGCTGGAGGGTTGGTGGATGAATGGGATAAGTTTTAGGGGAGGTAGGGAGTGTCAGAAGTAGACAAGTTGACAAATGGAGTGAAGAATGTCTACTAAATGAGATACTTGGTTTATTCAGACAGTTTCCATGAGATTAGGAGTGTGTGGCAGCAGGGCAGGATGGGGAGCTCTGGTTAAATTGCATGCTCTGTTGAGAGAGAGAGAGAGAGAGAGAGACTGTCTCACAGAGGAAGAATTAGGTGGAGTACATCCCAGCTTTTACTCAATTATAGCTACAATATACTGCAAGGCATAACTAGTGCATACGAATGCGTTGAGAGCCAGGCCTCTGCTAGTGGAGATCAAAATCAATTCGCTAGAGAGAGACCCACCTATAGATCATCTGGAAGAACATCACATGTAGAGTTACAACTCTTTGTAAGGAATACTCAAATGTCTATGAGCAAAAAATTGGCATTTCATCTTTAACAACCTTCAATTTTATACGATTCTACAGCCTAATATTAGTAAATTATTGCAACTATGTGGCGGAGAACAATAGTGTCCATTGTTCTAGAGAATGTTGAGTCCAGCATCGGGCAGAAAGGTCACAGTAGAACCGCTTAGCGTGTGAAATGTATAGTGGCTGTTTCACCTTTACTGGGTGTTTTTAAAACGGTGTTGTTACAGTAGGAGTTGTAAACTGTTTGATATGGAGGCTTTTGGAGGTGAATGCTTGTCCTCGCTGAAATAGCCAGTCGTAGGCGGCATGAGAGAAGAAAGGGAAGAGCGGTGGATGTGAATGTTGCTTAGAAACACGACTGAAGCCATTCGCAGTCATGTATGCCTTTGCAGACCTCACACCCACACGCACTGTCGCACTTTGATTGTTTTTGATATCTGATAATGTTTCAGTTTGTCTTTTCATTTTGATGAACCCCCGTTTTCATGTATGTGCATTTATATGTGTATACTGTTTAAGGATCAATTGGACTTTTGTGCTCTTCCAGTCATATACACAATTAAATACGTTTTTCTGTTTCTATTTTAGACTCTATTCTCTCGAGCAATTTTGTGAAATACAGTACAACATTGCATTCTTCTATTTAGAGGAGAGGTCCTATTGCCCATCATAACAAGCAACTTTCAGTGAAGTACATGTTCATTTTTCATTAGTTTTCAGTTTTGTAGTGCATACTTGGTGATTAAAATGAATGGTCACGCTTGTGATAAGCAGAAAAACATTTCACAGGCCAGCATGTTTTCCCTCTGAGCCAACATAGTCATTCCTTTGCTTTTTATAGAAACCTGAACAACTCTAATAGAAAGAAAATATCTCTCTGGTTCTATTTTAGGCTGTGTGTGTCAGTGACCGATTTCCCAGGAATGTTCCCCCCTAAACCCCAAAACCAGCACTTTTATTATATATATTATTTACAAAATAACAGAAACTTAATGCTTTTGAAAATAGCTTCACAATGCAGTAGACATTTCCAGATAATGTGTAATGGAATATGTTCTTTAGTGTCAAATCTTCTCTAAATGGTTCACTCCGGGGAGCCACCTCCAGCACCAAGAGCTGAATGCATCGGGCAGCCAAACCTCAAACACCTCCGGTACAACAAGAGGCCTAAATAAGGTAGAAAAAGAGCTGGAGAGAGAGAATAGGAAGTGTGATATCATACAGCCAGGAAAAGGGCTATATGTGGAGCTGGATGATGTGGGCCTTTTTCTTTTTTTTTAAATGATGAAAACAAGCCTTTCCTTCCAGATTATTTTTAAATTATGCTGGTTATTTGTCTTTGACATTCTAGTAATTTGACTATCTGAAAGTATGTTTGGAAATACCATGCGAACTAAAACTCTAGAGCCAAGCCGACTCAGCAGAATGTTGTGCAAGGTTTAGTAGATCAGCTTTCTCAAATGCTGCCCTGTGATTTGACTGTGAGGCTAAGTTGTGCAAAAACACCACCTCCGCATATTTATATACTCATGCATTTCCAACCTTGACATTAAACTTCTGTATTACTGCTGAAAAAAAAGGACAGATTTTTATCCACATTGAATTTGTCTGTCAAAATTCTGTGCATGCCGTTACCTAAAAGGGAGGGAACACCAGTGTTGCTTTATCAGCAGGTGTGTACTGTGTAGTTACGCAAGGTCGAAGTGAATCGGAGGAATTGTTTAAAGTGTGTGTGTTTGTCCATGTGTGTGTTCTGAAATGTGTGCATGTCTATCTGCCAGACTCAGTGTCTGCATTTGAGTGTTGTTTCTGTTTCTCTGTCTCCCTAAATACGACTTTGGAATATATCATTGACATTTTGGGATTCGTTGGTGGATCATTTGGGCTAATCCTGTTTGACGAAACATTTGGTATAATCAGGGAGGTTTTATGTGTGTGAGAGCAGTGTTTAAGACAAGCAGACGCTGTAATCTGGGTTCTGGGAAGGGGGCTGGCGATCAGCCACAAACAGACTTACAGGCATTTTGGTTAAAGCATGTCTAAAAAAATCTGCTGTCAGAGATAATTTAACTTTGACCTGCTCTGATAATGTCAGTAAGAAAGTTTTTCTTGTGTTTGAACTTTCTTTTTGTAATGTTAAATTACAATAAAAGAGGACCACGATACAAGAAGACCGAGATACTGTGAGATAATGCCTTATTTTTCTTCTTCTTGAGTGTGCTTTGATTTGGTTGATAGAAAGTTAAGGACTAATGCTAACTCATGCAGAACGTTTTAACATTTTCAGAAAGATGTACAAGAACTTTGCCAGTCTAAATTAGCCGATTTTAGATTTATATTCAAACCTATTTGCTCAAAGAACAAGTTAACAATACTACCAATCTGTACGAGCAGTGAAAAACAATTAGTTTTTTTTTAGGTTAGACTCCCACGTTGAAAACCACTAATTTAGAAAAGCATACTTTAGACATAATCGTTATTTTTGACACAACCGTAGTTCTAAAAAAAAAAAACAGACACATGTAATTAGTCAGAGAAATCTTAATTAAATCTTGAAGCGTGCGTCGGCCACTTGAGACCACATTAAACGACGGTCCCTGCTGTTTGAGCAGAGCTGCTCTAAATAAGTTAATTTGCCCCCACTGTTATCTTACTCTCAGCCCCTCACTACCATCCCCCACACTCTTCACAGGCTGTTGTGCACATACACATGTCTGCGTTTGTTATTGTGTATTCTCTCGTGGACAGTGGTTCTGGGATTAAACCCTCTCCCAGCGCTTCATACTGTCACACTTAACCCTGCTCCTCCAGCTTGCCAGACTAAGCAGGATTACTCTGTGTTTTTACACACAGACTTTCACGTCTATGTGCATGGACCGGTATCCACAGTATGTGCGCAGACACCCCCACCCCCCCTTGATCACCCAGTCTCTCTGTGTCTAATTGATGAATGGATTATGCTGTCTCCTCTCACTCCACACAGCTGTTTCATAGCTTTAATTCATCTGAGCTACACGACATTGGGGACTACACTGAACATTTTACGTTAATGTCTGGCACTTACAGTTTTACGTTGAAGCTGAATTTAGCTATGCAAATACTCAAAGAATGTATTCCTCTTTATCAGGAGTTATATAATGTGTGTGCTGTGCTAACTGGAAAGCACAGCTAAAGAAAATCACATGTTGATCATCTGAAACCATTTGAAAATATGCAGCCTGTGGTTGAAAACAATAAACTGTAATATATATATATATATATATATATATATATATATCTATATATATATATATATATATATATATATATCCCCTCCATACAGCAAGGAAAAGGTTACACCCTACATTTTCCATGAAAGTTGACACATAATGCAGACACAAAATAAAAATCATCATATAGTAACACAATATTGCAGCAGCCCATAATTATACAAGGTTTCTTTTTAACTGAAGCACAGCCACTTGGCTCGGTTTGATTTGGCCCAGTCGGACTTGGTCTGGCATGGAATAGTTTGTTCTGGCTAGTTATAGTGAAGGGTATTAGGACTTGTAGTGACAAAAAAACCCTCAGGGCCAACCCAGCATTAATGTGGTGGAGGAGGTGGAGGAAGGGTGTGTGTCTGTGGATGTGTGTGTTTGTCAGTTGTCAGCGGGGGATAGTACAGCAGTCAGAGGGATAAGTACGGCCCTGTTCACACATACTGCAGTAATTCATCCTTACAAATACAGCATATTCAGATCCTACATGATTCCATTTTGTAGCCATTGCTAGTAGAACATTTAAGGGAGTATTCACAGAATTGATCAGTTGGATGTTATTAGGATGGTAGGGGAAGCGACCTA